GGCACCGCTGTAATATCCAACTGCCGATTGATGTTCATATATAGACCCAATGTATCAGCCAATTCAAAAAAAGACAAGCAACAGGAAGGTCAGTGGTTAAGCAGAGGAACAGCTAACAAGAATACCTATGCAGTCAGTGATACATCAATGGAAGGAGACAACCGATCGTAAACCACTTGGTCAGGGCAAGTTAATAAGTCAGTCATGGAGAGATATTGACAGCTCGCTTCATATTGATGTTACTGCTGATGACATTGTCTAGAAAGACAATGAAAGTTCTAAGATTAAAGCACCCAGGTAACAGAGTTTAACACAGTGAAAATGTTCATAACAACTATGGCTTGAATATTTACAATTAACCGTTCACTTCAATGGGATTTACTTAAGCTATCATATTTTGCATTTTAAACCATTAAATCAAATCATAAATCTATGTAAGTAAGGGTCTCAGAACATATTCCAAAGTGGCTTTAGAAGAAGATCCAATCATCTGAACCCCTAACACATTGTTAGCAGACGTTCAAGTTCTTCGATCGTGAAACATATCTTTGACATGGCTACTTTCTTTACACTTACTTACAAAACGTGTTGGAGACAAATCCTTAAAGTTGTTAAGGTCTTAGCTATTAAGAAGTTCATGCCATCTTTGTACATTTATAAATAATTTGTTATCATATTAATAAATCTCCCTTGGTGAATTCAATTATGAAAACCATATTCATTGTCCAGTTATTTTCGCTGTATTGATTCTCATTGTTATTGGGCCCTTAATTCAGCCTTCCTACTTGATCCTTTTTCATTTACTCATCTCTAATCTTCATGAATCTTCATATAGATATCTATAACAAGTAAGTGTATGATCAGGTTACTCGAAATGTGTTGCTCAAATACATTACACGGTTCAGATAGTCTTGTGATACCCCAGTTTTGTATAAAACATTGTTATTTATCTGAACATTTTAACGTGTCATTCCCATACTATTTTTACGGTATGACTAATAGTCTATTTTCTACCTCCATTGTAATGTAAATGGCAATTTAGTTAATCTTTACTCTTATTATGCAAATGCCTCAAATTGAGGACAAGATCATTTTTCATGTGTGTACTTATTCATGTGTTTTGGGATTGATTATATCATTATATTCTCGGAGTGATACACTCTCCCATCTACCAGCTTCGGTCTTCTCTCTATTTCTTCCGGGTTGCAGTCAGTGACTCTTGCGTACCAAGTTAGCTATCAGCTAAGCGCGCTTATTATATTCGTTCCGGAATATATATATATATATATATATATATATATATATATATATATATATATATATATATATATAACTATTAGCACTTCGAAAACATCTTCTTACTGCTTTGTAGAAGTCTATAAAGGGAATTAATTGTTTGAAATGATATTCAATGAAAGATAAAATTGATAAAAACTCAGAGTAATTCAAACTGAATATATTTCTTGAATATAATTTAATGTATGTGTACTCATAGTCACCTAAAAAGTGAGTTTGATTACAAAATAGTGTTATCAGCACGATGTTCTAACTCTGAATACACTAACTGTTGGTATGTATATTGTATGCATATATGGCTGTATAAAAGCGTACATTCACGGAAAATCTCTGATTTTGTCGCATCTTACACATAATTAACACAGTTTTCTATGATGCAAAGCAAAATAATTAAATTCTTGTTCAGAATGAGTTATTCTTTGAACTAGGGCATTTGTTGGTAAACGCTTTAATTTGAGGCAAAATGTTGTGATTAGTACACTGAAACCTCATACGGAAGTGAAGTAATTACTTCAGCATACACCGATACATTCATGAAGTGAGTTATACTCAGGTAACTCACCATATTATAAGTATCCTTACACATCCAATTACTTCAATTCATTGTGAAGTTCAGATGCAGTGTTGGGATCGTCTAGGATGATACACAGACATCCGCCAACTGAAACCTAATTCACCCTGAACGTACACATCCTGAGATACATATAATGGTCACAGTTTCTAAACTAGCAAATAAGGATTGAAGCTATGGTCTTCATCTTTTTTCATACATTCATTCTGGTCGATGTTGATGAGTAGCGGTAACCAGTGAAAAATTGGTTATCACAGTCACTTGTTCCGTTCAGTGGGCTGCATACAATTATTGAAAAAAATAAACCTGTCAGATTTTCACTGTTTCTATTACGCTGAATGCTGGAGAAAGTTTTAAGCAGTCTTCAATTTATCCAACTTCCTCTATTATCTTCATTTCTAAACTTTTCCAACGTTTTTAGATAGTCCGCAAATATGAATCACTCTACATCAAATTCATTTATACTTTCCAGTCAAAGCTTCAAAATCTTTTCAAACTGTCTTGCATAGTTTTAAATGTCACAGGTTACATTTTCACTGCTTAAAGTGCAGGGTTATATTAAATATCACACTGATAATTACTGGAACAACTAATCAGGTTTTTCGATTTCATTGGAAACAAGAATTTCACATAAAATAAACGGAATAGGCCTACTCCAGAAATCAAGATGGACAGTTCATTTCATCACCTCCAGGCATTAATTCACATCCATATAACACTGGCTACATCTCTTCCCATACAAATATGTATAGTGAGTGTAACATATAGAGTTGTATTCAAGCACATATGAAGCAAGCAATTAGACATTCCACTCATATAAGGGAGATTCAGAACATACAACAGCTGACACATGAATACTAAAGGTTCTCTTCCTAACTCATCAACACATAACACAGTCAGCCTAATGTACATGCATCGTTATTTACTTTATAATAGCTTTATCAACACGAAAAAGTACTTAATAATTTGTCCTAGAAATCCATGAATAAAGAAAAGATTGTGGTAAGCAACTTTACACTTTATATGAATTCCGATGAACACTTACGCGGATAATTTTTTAGGATTTGTCCTGTTGCGAACTTGACAGAAGCAAAGACCAGTCACTTATTATTCGGACTTGTTATATACCCACGAATACGAGACCAAGGAAGAACACGATAGCGTAGTTGGATAGAATAGTATATTTGGATGGTTGTGCCAAAATACTGATGCGTTCCAACTAACTGGCTAGAGAGTCGAATATGAGCAGTGCAACGTAACACGACAGCGTGCCAAGTGGCGAGGATGCTTGACCGGGTGCCTTCAGCTTAGCGTGTCCAGTTAAACTATCAAGGTCAGCATCGATGTCGAAAGTCGTCAAACCCTAGGCTATTGATTTTGGGGAAGTGTGTGACGCTACAGTTTCAAAAATATAACAGATAAATATTAGGTCGATTTGGATAGAGCCTTCCAGTATGTTTAAGTTTTTGAAATACTTACTGTAACGTTCTACTGACGGCGAACAGATCAAGAAAACCACAGGATTCCAAGAATACGCAAATCAACTGAAGATATAACAGAATCGTCTGTTAACAAAATACGCTGGACACCTCATTCTACTGCTCTCAAGTAAACATTAAACAACTCCATGCAAAACAAAAACAACAACAACAACAACTTCAACTGTTCACATCTCTACACAATAACATCACATTGAAAATTATTTCAACCATCATTCAAACAATAAATTCATTAGTGTATCAACCTTGAACGAATGCCCATTCTCCTAATAATACATCTCATCACTGGAGAACACCACAAAACAGTCCAGCCACAACAACAATCATCATTGCTAACAACACACATTCTCACTTATTTATCCAGTCAATCAATCTCACATTCATCCACAACTTTACCTATCAAATAGTCACAAACACTAGACAATACACAAACCAGCAATTCAATAACACATTCCATACAGAATTATCGCTAGCCAATAAGCACAATTCACATGTTCAACATGACAAGATATACATGAAACTAGGTGGACGAAAGATGTTGAGCAGGAGAAGAGATGATATCATTGAAAAGATACATCACTTCACCTGTGATAAAGTGGTAAAGCACTATTTTATCCTCTCAATAACAACTACAAACCGAGGCCGAATTCATTCAGTTTCGTGGAGAAATTTATTCACATCCACCAGTAAATGAAAAATCAATATCATCCACCTCCTGGACTCTACACAAAGTGAACACACAATCAAATTTATCAACAAATCAACAGTGTGTACACACTCATTCACTCACACACACACACATACATACACACAATGAATAACTCTAAACTGTATGTCATCGACTAACTTACTGCTACCAGCATCAATCTCTACGAGGATAGCGCATAGAACTGTGCAGATAAACAACAGTAAATAATTCCTGTTCATCTTCAACGTGAAGTGTATCTGTAAAGTCCACCTCGAATGAAGACGTATACATGTATATATATATATATATATATATATATATATATATATATATATATATATATATATATATATATATATATATATATATATATATAACCATCTCCAACCATGTATATACACACATATATATGATAGAGTGATTGTAGTGCATATCTATGATGTTACTATTCGACTTATCAGTAGTGAACATGTGATTGAATTTCTTCTTCAGAGATTACAAATCGATAATTTGGAAAAAATCTTTCCAACTAATTTTAACAGTTATATCACTGAGTTAATGACTTGATACATTATTTTGATAAATGAATGATTGAAATAGATTTCAAGCGTAATTCGATGTGACTAGCTTGCGAGAATTCATATTTGGTTTCTGTATTTCGAAGGTGAAGTAGACATAAAATGATTCATCATGCCATATGCATTCTAACAATTACCCAATGATATAAGTTTTAGTGGCATCAGTAACTTCTCAGCTTGTTTGCTGTTGAGTAAATGAACGTAAATTTTAATCTTCAATAAATATTTTTACACTGATCCCAGCTAGTTCGTCACTTGTTGTTATAGGTTAAAATCTGATTGACAATTTATCATCAAATTTTATACTTGAAAATGTATTCCTACCTTTCTCATTTTCACATTGACTCCAGTCTATTCAACTAACACAAGCATTATTCACTCTGTGTAGGTTTTGCTTACTTACTTTTTCATTTCATTAAAGAAATGTGACATTTTTTACATCGAATTATGCTTGAAATCTATTTCAATCATTCATTTATCACAGTCATTAACTCTAATTATGGTTATCACCATTAACTCAGTGATATAACTGTTAAAATTAGTTGGAAAGATTTTTTCCAAATTATCGATTTGTAATCTCTGAAGAAGAAATTCAATCACATGTTCACTACTGATAAGTCGAATAGTAACATCATAGATATGCACTACAATCACTCTATCATATATATGTGTGTATATGCATGGTTGGAGATGGTTATATATATATATATACATGTATACGTCTTCATTCGAGGTGGACTTTACAGATACACTTCACGTTGAAGATGAACAGGAATTATTTACTGTTGTTTATCTGCACAGTTCTATGCGCTATCCTCGTAGAGATTGATGCTGGTAGCAGTAAGTTAGTCGATGACATACAGTTTAGAGTTATTCATTGTGTGTATGTATGTGTGTGTGTGTGTGAGTGAATGAGTGTGTACACACTGTTGATTTGTTGATAAATTTGATTGTGTGTTCACTTTGTGTAGAGTCCAGGAGGTGGATGATATTGATTTTTCATTTACTGGTGGATGTGAATAAATTTCTCCACGAAACTGAATGAATTCGGCCTCGGTTTGTAGTTGTTATTGAGAGGATAAAATAGTGCTTTACCACTTTATCACAGGTGAAGTGATGTATCTTTTCAATGATATCATCTCTTCTCCTGCTCAACATCTTTCGTCCACCTAGTTTCATGTATATCTTGTCATGTTGAACATGTGAATTGTGCTTATTGGCTAGCGATAATTCTGTATGGAATGTGTTATTGAATTGCTGGTTTGTGTATTGTCTAGTGTTTGTGACTATTTGATAGGTAAAGTTGTGGATGAATGTGAGATTGATTGACTGGATAAATAAGTGAGAATGTGTGTTGTTAGCAATGATGATTGTTGTTGTGGCTGGACTGTTTTGTGGTGTTCTCCAGTGATGAGATGTATTATTAGGAGAATGGGCATTCGTTCAAGGTTGATACACTAATGAATTTATTGTTTGAATGATGGTTGAAATAATTTTCAATGTGATGTTATTGTGTAGAGATGTGAACAGTTGAAGTTGTTGTTGTTGTTGTTTTTGTTTTGCATGGAGTTGTTTAATGTTTACTTGAGAGCAGTAGAATGAGGTGTCCAGCGTATTTTGTTAACAGACGATTTTGTTATATCTTCAGTTGATTTGTGTATTCCTGATTGATATATTTTAGTGAGTAGAAGTTTTTTTGCATTTGTGCTTGATGGAGGAGCATCAAGGAATTGTCTACCTGTTCTTGAGAACCTGATGGTTGTCATTTAATAGAGTTGGGAAAGTGTTCGCGTTGTATGGTTGTTTCATGTGTGAAATATCTTTCTCTGCTTGTTAGCTGTAACGAACTGGGAACAGTTAGAAGAGAATAAAATGATCAACAGATATCAGGGGATGTCACGATGGATTATAGTAGTTTTAGTTGAGCACAGTTTCTGTGCTGTCACAATATATCATGTCTAGATCGAGAAGCTGATACGTGTTTTGTTATGATCCAGTGCAAATCTTCGCTCACTAGTTCACCACGTCATTCGACATTGCTCATTTTCTAGTCACACGTTACCTACTATGTTATTTGCATCAGACCTCAGTTTAGTATGATTTTGAAATCTGCTGCCTATGCGGATTATCAAACGCTTTTGTAGTCTACCCAAGTATCCTCATGCTCGATTAAGGTCACGCTACTTACTAGTTGTGAATCTAGTGACTGGTACTTCCGTGATGACTGCCTTTACCATCTAACATTTGCGTTGATCAGTGACTTCGGTGGACGTATATAAGCACTAGTAAGTTGGTTAGGTGTGCAAGTTGTTGCTTTTACTCTGCATCTCGCTGGTGTGTGTTTCAGGAGGAGGAGAATAATGAGCTGGAGATGTTTGTTCGGTTGAATTACGGATGAAGAACTGGTGAATATGAAGGCAGGTGTACTGTCGTTTAAACCAGTATTTTATTAAAAGAATCTGATGTGAGACAGTCATTATACGCTGTTTACTCACATGAGGCAATGCTGTTATACATTGTTCTGTGGGACTTTGTTAGTTGGTTGTAGGCAATTGATAGGTGACGGTACACGGTCTAGGTTGTCTGCTTGTTGGTGGTTGTCAGCAAGGTGTATCTGTTAGGTCGTCTGGGGGGTGGGGGTGGGCATATGTCGACTGAATGGGGTTCGAAGCTGTTCCATGCAGGCTTGTAGCCGGTGACGTTATCACTGAACTATTCGACTTGTGAATGACCTGATATGGGACTTGATCAGGTTCATTGTCTTCTCGATGTCGATCGGATACTTTCATATTGTCTGGTGCTGGGTGTTGACCGATTGATGGATTGTCGATTGCCTCCAATCAACTAACATGCGTGAATGTGCATGGCGATTGTTAGCCGTTTATATTGATGGACAGGCTACAATGGAATTTTGTGATCACTGATGTGTGCATTGGATGAAATTGATTACTGTCGAGGTAGCAGTAAATCTATTTACTTCAATCAGTCTTGTTGAAGATGAAAGACTGAATACTGAAGGAAGATGAACGTGATTATGATTGTTGAGTAAATTACTCAGAGTGTGATGTAGTACTTGTGTAGTTAACATTGAGGTGACTGAATGTGATGATCAATGCATGGAGTTAATGCGTATAACTTTTTGTCCGATCTACAAGTTGTATTCGGTGCAATTTTTTTTCTGAAGTTTTCCACTCTTTTGTTTAACCCATGAAGTGAAATTGGTAGGATTGTTTTGACTACAATTCTTTTACTGTGTCGATTTGTAGGACAAGCTCGTAAGTGTTTTTTCTGGTTTTAGTTATTTATTGTGATTATAATTACACTGGATTTATATTGGACTATCTTTACTAGTTTTTTTTTTGAGTCAAGAGGGGATCCTTTGATACTTAAGTGTTAGCTGTTGTAAATCTGTTTAATATTAGTTAGATGCTTAATTGGCTACATTTGCATCTGGTTAACGGCAAGAGTATATCTAGTACGCTTATTTTACATACTTTGCATTGAACGTGGTCTAGCTATTTTTATGTGTATGAGAAATAATGGCTGAAGGCGACGAAATAGACTGTTCATCTTGTTCCTGAAATGACATGCGATGGTGTCTTTCAAGTAAGTTTGGTAGCTACTTTAACAACTAGGGAAGAAGTCTGTTCGATTTCTTTATTTAATGAAAAATTCACATTATTAAATAAATAAACAGGGGTGAGGCTAAAAGTTATCCCCGATTGTTATCTTATTTGTTATGGGATTTGGTGTTCTGTACTCAAATTCTCTTACTTTTCATGTGCTGTATGTATGTTCTACTTCATTGCATAGTTTCTAAAATACTCTCTATCACTTAATTGTGTTTCATTGCCGTTTATTCATATGGAAATTATTGGTTGCCCATCCACCTCCTAATAGGAATGTAAATATATTTGTTTATGAAAGATGATGTTCACAAATCAAAGTAGGTTAATTCAACTTTTAAACTGTAACAGAAAGGAATTATGATTGCAGCTTCCGACTGAAAATATAAGCTTATAAAGCACAGAAAATAAGTATTTTCACACGGAATACTATTACACCTAGGGATAACTATAAGCATCACCCATAAACAGACCGGATTAGTTGTTCCAATAATTATCAGTGTGACATTTATTATCAAAAAAGAGAGAAATTCAGCGAAGAGGACTCTTTTCAACGAATTTATTCTCAAGCTGTTCATTCGTGTATATATGTGCAGAAACAACAGCGGACATGCTCACACCACACCACTATTGCAGAAGGTGTGGAAGAAAGAGAAGGTACCTGTCAGTTGATTGGAAGAAGGGTTACCTTGTCAAACTGCCGAAGAAAGGAGACCTCAGTGTTTGCAAGAACTGGCGCGGAATCACTCTTCTGTCTACTCAAAGCAAGCAAAATATTAAGCCGCATCATCCTGGAGAGACTAAAGGATGCACTGGACTCAAAACTTCGACTGGAAAAGGCAGGCTTCAGGAAGTACAAATCATGTGCAGACCAAATTGCAACGCTACACTACGCATCATCATAGAACAGAGCATAGAATGGCAATCAGCTCTCTACCTCAACTTCACCGACTTTGAGAAGGCCTTTGATAGCGCTGACCGAGAGGTAATTTGGAAACTGCTTCACTACTACGGAGTACCGCCAACCTTCTCCGTCTCATTCAACAACTATATGAAGACGCTACATGCCAAGTAATTCACAATGGGAAGCTCAGTGATGCTTTTGAAGTGAAGACAGGAGTAGGAGTGAAACAAGGTTGCCTACTATCCCCATGATATTCCTGATTGTGGTCGACTGGACTGGATCATGCAGCAAACAGTGGGCAGTGAGAAGAGGGGGATACACTGGCTGGACTGCGGAAAAGAACCTAGAAGATTTGGATTTCGCCAACGATGACTTGTGCCTGATGTCACACAAACTTGAAGATCTACAGACGAAAACTAACGAGTTGGCAGAAGAAGCAGGGCAGCGAAGACAGGACTTCAAGTGAATATAGAGAAGACAGAAGTGATGAAGATACAGCACCACCACCACCAACAACAACAACAACAACAAACTCCAATCACCATCAACGGGAAAAACTTAAAGGAAGTAACCTCCTTCACTTATCTAGGAAGCACTGTTTCAACTACAGGCTACACAGGGACAGACGAGGATGTCAAAGTCAGAATCGGAAAGACAGCAAGACAGGCGTTGATTAGCCTGAAACCAGTGTAGAGATCTTCTGCACTCCTCTCAGCATGTGGAACAAGATACGGATTTTCAACACCAACGTCAAGTCAGTGCTTCTGTATGATGGTTCAGAGACTTGGCACGTTACGAAAGGAATTGCCAATAAACTACAGACATTCATCAACAACTGCTTACGCTGGCTCGCTACTGAAGATCAGATGGATTGCCAGAAAGAATAAGCAAGAAGGAACTCTGGGAACGAACCAACCAAGAACCTGTCACCCAACAAATATGCATTGGAAGGAAGTGGAGATGGATTGGGCATACACTGAGAAAGCCGACTGGGGACATCACGCGTCAGGCCAGTTACTCGAGTGGAATCCCCATGGGAAGCGATGAGTTGGGCGTCGGTGTCGAGGGTGACATGGAGGAGATGGTGCGAGGAGGAAATGAGAGGTTGTGGGCTGTCGTGGAACCAGGTTCTAAAGATCTCAGAGAACAGGGGTCACTGGAGATGTGCTACTGAGGCCCTATGTTCCATTAGGAACCCAAGGGACTAATAATAATAAAATTATATATATATATATATATATATATATATATATATATATATAATGTAAAGATTGTAATCCGTGAGGAAGATTTAACTGAAATAATGGGGGGTTGAAACAACAATAATAATGATGGTGATGATAATTATAATGTTGATAGTTAGTGACGTAAAGGTGGAATGGTAACAAAAAGGGGTTACATGAGACTTTCAAGTTGTTTCTAAAGTGTATATAGATTAAAAGGGGTGAGAACATTAACAAACAATCAAAGGATTAGGTAATATAAATGAGACAAGTTAATTGTAGTAAATTGAAAATGTTTTGTTAAAAGTTACGATAATTAGGAAGATCAAATGAATTAATACCGGAGACAAATAAATACAAAAAAAAGAATGATAATGACGATATAAGAGTACAAAGATTAATCTGACAAAAAAGGGGGAAGGGGGTGAAAAACGAAAAAAGGACGAAGCCCACCAAAGACTGAAATAAAGACAAAGACTGTACGTACTTCTTTTTTACACAAAGGTCGGGCTTTAGTTCATGGATAGTCAAGGCCTCTGCTGTTTTTAAAAGTTGAACACGCAGGAAACGTGAAGTGTTAGGGCGAATTCGATAGACAACCTTTAAATCCTTGTCTGGTCTGCTGAATGGTTCGAATCGATTAAATGTTCAAAGAGAGAACTTCTGATACATTTCCTTTGACCCTTATAAAACCAGGCCGGAATGTGTTCTCGTATACGTGTTGAAAGCAATCTCTGACTACGGCCGATATACCTTACTCCACAGGAGCAGGTGAACTGGTAGATACACATGGGTGTGGCCTGTCGAGGGATATTATCTTTTACACAAACAGAGAACAATTTACGACTGTTAAGATCAAGTGAAGTTTTACTGAGAAAAAGGTCCTACTAATTGATCTAGAAAGACGATTTTTCAGGATATCTGATGTTACATCACCTTTGAAGTCCAGATTCATGGACAAAGTCTTTTTGAAACTGAGCTGTTGACTGGTTTCGCATGTCTTTCTTGCATATTCTTATCGATAAATCGGCTAGGATAGCCATTTTCCGCGAGCGTTGGTCTTAGAAAGTCAAGTTCAAGTTGGACACATTTTGTGCTACAAATATTACGTATTCGATGGCACAGTGAGTGGATGAGGTTTCTCTTCCTCATGATCGGCACTCAGCTATGGGAATTAGTGAGTTGTCCGATTTGAAAGTCTCATGTAACCCCTTTTTGTTACCATCCCACCTTTACGTCACCAACTATCAACATTATAATTATCACCACCATCATTATTCTTGTTGTTTCAACCCCCCATTATTTCAGTTAAATCTTCCTCACGGATTACAATCTTTACATTATATATATATATATATATATATATATATATATATATATATATATATATGAATGTACAGCTTGAGAATAAATTCATTGAAAAGAGTTTTCTTTGCTGATTATTTTGTTTTTGATGTCACAATGGGAATAATGAACATTTGTTATCATTTCAAGTTGTTATTCATCGTAGACTGACATCAGTTGGAGGAACAAAGGAAACCTGGGAGCACTGGACAGCTGTTTCGTCCTCATATGGGACTCCTCAGCAGTAAGCACCCACGACCCCACCCTCCACGGATAGAACCCGCAACCCTCAGGTTCCGCAGCCAGCGCGTTACCATTGACCCACTGAGTCACAATCAATGCTCCATATTTCCAACTTCTCTTAGCTCACGATATATAGCGCAACGCCACCCAATGTCATCGTTGAGTATTGTCCTCACGGCCATCAGCTTTGACTCCACCGGTCACGACTTCCCATTGGAACTGGGGAATACTTCTCGAAGCTAGTCACCAATGAGCACCAGTTCAATTAAATTTTGAGGTAGTTGTGGAGATTCGGAAGTATTTCAAGTTGTTATTCATCAAAGACTGACATCAGTTGGGTGCGCACTGCTGAGGAGTCCCTACTAGGATGAAACAGCTGTCCAGTGCTCCCAGGTTTCCTTTGTTCCTCCAACTGATGTCAGTCTACGATGAATAACAACTTGAAATATTTCCAAATCTTTACAACTCCCTCAAAATTTAATTTGTTATCATCCTGGATTATGATCGGTGTGTATTTTGAGGATCTATATTCTTAAGTTAAAATTATTAAATATATCTGCTTAGAAATAATTTAATTGATATTTATGACTACCGGTGAAATCCATAAGTCATGTTCCTATTTTGTACTTGTCACCTGGATACACTCTATCCTAGTCATATATATCAGTGTGAAAATACATGTATGAAAGTAATTATGTCTGATACCTTTTGTTCTAGGGGTGGCTCTCCTGCCCTAGTGGCCTTTTGAATAATTCTTGACGGTTGCCGGTTCTAGTTTCAGTAGGAAGCACACCACTCACTGGTGTGTAAGTACATTCATCTGACGAGTGCCAAATAGGATGAAAAATGTGTCCTAGATTCCACTACGTTTCACTAAAAGGGAATATAGCATTTGTATAAATTGTTATCATTTGACTAGTTTCAATATTTCCACCAAATCTCACCGATATCGATCAGCCTTCGTCTTTGTTACTTTCTATCTCAGTTTCTGCTATATACTTCGTATTCAATAGGCTATCACGCAACTGAAGAGTACCAATGAAATAAACGTATGATATTTCGCTGTTGTTTTATTCGTGTTCACGATAAGGAATAATTAAAGACTCATTACTTGAAGAGAACGATATACTTAACAAAGTGATAGAATAGTTAGCGCAAATAAGAGGAAAACTAGGTAAAAAAATCTCACCCTTATTTAAATATTTTACATAAAGCTAAGAAATTACACATTGGTTATTTCGTTACTTGTTTCCCTAACATAAATAAGAAATAGTGACAAGTTGAACTTTTCTACCTAGGTAACAAATCAGATGATTTAGTTGGACCTTTGTTATTAGGAAAAGATAATCAGTGTAGATAAAATGTTTCCGTGTTGTATGAATGTTTACAAAAGAAGATATGTTATTGTAACACTTCATTTACACAATGTGAAACTAACTTGTTGTCACTATGGAACCCAAAGGATAGAAGTATTTGTACCAACATATATGGCAGATATTAATGATGGATCGTGGCTAACAGTGGAATCTAGATGCGCATTTCGTCCTATTTGGGACTCGTCAGCTGGATGTACTTGCTTCCCTGTGAGTGATGTTGTTCCCACCGGGATTCGGACTCATGGACGATAGCTCCAAACGCCACACCACCAAGCCACGATAGCTACTTCTTGTGCGACGGGTATAGTTTTTCGTATAACTATTTTTATATGATACCGTCGTTGCTTGGACCGAATCCCTGTGGGAACAACATCACTCACTGGGAAGCAGGTACATCCAGCTGATGAGTCCCAAATAGGACGTATATGGCAGATAATTCCCGTCATTTTTGATTTTTAATGTACAATCGCTGCTAATTAAGATGATCGGTGTGAACATCTCTGTTTGAACAAAGTGGTAGGCTATTCACAATTATTTAACATTCAAACCAGCCAAAGTTCGTTGAATAATCGGGTCAGATTCCAAGTTCCCAGCTGTTACATATGGCTACTGAACAGCTTATATAACACGAAACTCAGTTGGGTTTCATTTGTTCTAACAATCACTGCTCAATATATCAATATGTCAAGAATGGCAGTTATATAACTTCAAGGTAGTGTCAGTAACCGACGCTATTTCAAGGGTGAGAAGGCAAAGTTGTGCTGTTAGTTAACAGTAGGCGGGAGCTATCCCTAATGAACACCTTCCTACCTATATTGTGTAAGACTGATACTATCAAGAAGTTTCTAGGAACTGTTGACTCAAGCAACTGTGCTTTAAAAAAACCGCTGGAACATCAGGTTGCTGCTAGTAATCTTGTTCAAAGAAGAGAACGTTTATACTAACAATATCGCCCACAAGCTCGTGTGTGAAACGGCTCAAGATCATATCCTTTAAACTCTGTAATTTTGACATTAATAGTTGATAGCTGCCAGTAATAGAATCCTGGACGCGTATTTCTACTCGGCAGCTGAATGTACCTGCATCGTGGTATGTGATACTGCTCCTACTAAGACTAGAAACCAGAAATAATCATTCCAAGTAACAGAACGTCAGGCAATGGGCAAGTGATCGTGATAGCTATTTACTATATGACAGATAATGTCGAATTCTTCCACTAGTTATCAGTCAGTGCAATCCAATCAGTCGTAAAGATTGACAACCTATAACATCAAAACTTTCTACCTTTCACTTCATTTGGAGATCGTGGTAGAACACAGTGTATTTTTTATCACAATGTATACTCTAATATTATGATTATACCTTCCGTTGTTAATATCTCAAGGAGAATAGCACCAAAATAAAGTAGAGATTGAATGTATCTTTCTTCAATACAAAAAGCAGACTTCTATGCTGAATTATCACACATTCTACTGTCTTGAAGTGGTTTATACGTACTCCAAAATGTTCACTTACACTTAATAAATAACTTTGAAAGAATAATCACGTGGAACACAGTGATCAGAGTAGTCAATCAAATCCTCATCAATAGAGCTATTGACAACTTTACACTCTCCTCTACACATCCATGCAGAATAGTGTTCACAGATGCGTTGGAATACAACATCCTTTACACAGACTATGTAACCAGCTTCACTACATCAGCTGAATTCCTAAACACACATCATGCTGGCTCAATTTGATAGCTCATCATTTACACACCATAAAATCACTTGTTCACTAGATAAAACAATCCGAAACACACCAGAAATCAACATCTTCCTCAGTGCTTCCCACAATCGATTCTTCACTATCTCTGTCAATCTATCTCACATTCAATCCACTGAATCCAATAACAATGTCTTCTTTACATCCATATAGGATTCTTCTTTGAAATTCTTAGGTCTCATCATCCTCTCTATGAATTTTGTAGAGTAATCATTCTGGATGAACACTCTTCGAAGTATTTCCACCTCATCAATCACTGCATCCATCATCTCTACATATTCTTCTAATTCATATGCATACTGAATGAATTAGATTAATTCTCGTGACTAGTGGAATCAGTTCTGAAAGTGGATATATTAACCATTCCAGGAAAGCATCATGTCTTCTTCTCAACAGAACATCCACGAAGTGGAATTCTCAGTTATTTTCAGTTTCCATATTGAATGTGGTTGACATGTGACATTCATTGAAAAGCTCCATAGTATTTCTTCCAGGTTAGTATTCTTGTTACAGATGATGAAATTGTCATCTGTGTATGCCTAGTGTAGATGGAACTGGTTGACCAGTGGACATAGTTTACTGTTCTCTATATTGTGATGAATCAATGAGGTAGGAGAAGATCCAATGGTGAACCACTTGCTACCCCATATATATATATATATATATATATATATATATATATATATATATATCAAGGGTAACAGTGACAGCGAAAAGGTTTAAATACTCACTGATACCAAATATCCATTTTAACGTTGATGAAGGCGAAAAGTGAAAGTCATGGATACTTCATTGATAAGTGGTCGAGTCTATACAGAGAAAAAATGTGTGATGAATTCCATTTGTAGACATTTAAAGAATGTTTGAACTTGGAAGGCTGTTTTCAGACAGTCTCAGTAATAAAAAACATGGTAGAAGATAGGAAATACTGATATTATTTTTTCATTAGTTTGAAAAACAATTCCATTCTACACCATTGTTGTTTATTCACTTAATTTTCGAAATATTTATCTGAAGATTTCCTTTATTTCATGACTAATTTTATAAATGTTGTGTTTTAGAGTTTACACGTTTTGCAGGCGGTGAGTTGTATCCATGCATGCCGTTTATCGTTGAGTTATACATATGTATGAGTATGTGAAAGACTACATCATATGATAAGAGGATCTAATATCTCTCACTATTTCACTATGAACCAGTCTGTTTTTATCTATAGTCAGTGAAATTTTCGATTGAAAATATACTTTTAATCCTGAAGAGTTTCAAAGTTTCCTATGACCAAGCCATATGAAATTATGATAATTGACCATCCATTAGTAAACATTTAAGATGCAGGCAGTATGGTAGAATACTATTTCCATATCAACTTTACTTATTAATATATCACATAGATGAAATATACCCGTTTATTCATTAAGAAGAACAAGGCATGTATCAGTGAAGAAGTATTTCTACTCAACGATTTCATTATCAAACTGTACAGTCATATTTATACTCGGTAAAGTGACAGATAATTGTACTAAAAAGAGACTCGTTTAGTCAATATGCAAAATATACAATGGGTGTTGATGGTGGGTGGTATGTGTTCAAATGGAAGAGATAGAAAATGGATCACTGAATAAGGAGCGATGAATTGATAACAAGTGGTGAGATAAGAGACAAATATTGTCAAAGGATTGTAAACCGGTGATAATTGAACTCAAACATACAAAATAGGTCAATGAATAAGGAATGAATTGATATTAACTAGTGAGATATGGGTCAAATGTTGTCGATGAAGTAAAAATTGGTGATAATGATGCTGATAATCAAAGAGAAGTATACCAAAGTGAAGTGAATGAAGTTGACAAAATCACCAAATTGAATTGTTAAGGCCAAGGTATAGAAAGTGTGGTTTCACAAAACGTTTTTAATGAAAAGTTTCGGTTTTTATTCATGTATAGCTAATGCTTCAGTTATGCATAAATGGTGGAAATGTAAACCTTCAGGGACTAGTTCAATTTAACTTTGTAAATTATTTTAAAGGATGAATCTCGAGATTCTGAGTATCCAATTCAACAAAGTGTTCACATATGGATGAAGTTGTTTTCCTTTGTTGGTCTGTGGTAAGCCAAACCGGATAGTGTTCAGCAACATGTTTTAGGAGGACCCGCTTATAATGTCCAATATAGTCAGCTTCACAGGAGCATATGAACTTGTAGATACACATAGATGTGGACATAAGTGGAAGCCTATCCTTCACGCATTGACGAATCAGATGGCGGCTGGAGAATATCACTCTCAGTGTAGCAGCAAGAAGCTACTATTGATACATCTTGACAGACGACTTTTAGCACTTCAGCTGTGGCGTCTCATTTGAATTCTAGATTCATGGTTGACATTTTCTTAGGGACTGTAATGGATGGGAAGTGGTTCGTTTTTCAGATTCTTATCAACAAATCTTTCAGGGTATCCGTTATTAGATAGTATTATTCTAAGAGTTTTGATTTCAGCATCTCTTCACTTGTTATCAATTCATCGCTCCTTATTCAGTGTCCATTTTCTATCTCTTCCATTTGAACAAATACCACCCACCATCAACACCCATTGTATATTTTGCATATTGACTGAACGAGTCTCTTTTTAGTACAATTATCTGTCACTTTACCGAGTATAAATACGACTGTACAGTTTGATAATGAAATCATTGAGTAGAAATATTTCTTCACTGATACATGCCTTGTTCTTGTAATGAATACCACATAGAAAACGTTGGAGTAAAACTGACTACCATAATACGAAACAAAGATCTGTAGGCGAACTAAAAACGTCTTATGTCGTGTGATCTATCATATACACTATCAAGTTATCACAGAATGATTCATACACTCTAAACTGGATAAGACAGTTGTTCAATTAAAGTAAATGGAGTTACACAGTGAGCCTTATATATCATTAAGTTACTTGATGTAAACAAGCTGTATTTCATCTAACCCCATTAATGATAATTGTCAGTGACATTTATGACATACTTTGAGATTCATTGGAGTTGATCATATTGTAGTAAAATTATTGCAGAATATTTCGACTGTTATTACCTTCTTCATGATCCTTTCTTTTCTCTGAATATCACCAAAGAAGACTAACAAACTGAAGGGTGTAGTGTACATGAAATCTGATTTCAACATCTACTCATTACTATTTAAGTAACCATGGTTAAAATAAAACTGGTTTCTACGCAAACAGGGACTCAAATACCTCTTGTGATTTTTTAATTATTCAGATGGAAAATTTTTTTATACCTGGTTTAATGAATCATATTTACACTGTGAAGTGACTTCTTATCGAATAGGTTGAAACATGAGATAACTGAGCATTGAACACGGAATCACATCAACTGGAGAACGACTAAAAATCTAAGAGTACTCGACATACATTTCGTCCTAGTATGCGACTGTTTTTCTCAATTTCATTGATTTTGAAACGGTCTTCGATAGCGTCAACCGAGAAGTAATTTGACAGCTGCTTCAACACTACGGTTTTAAGTGATACAAACGTCCATCAACCTCATTCAACAAACATATGCTATATGGGCATGCTACATGCTAAGTGATTCCCAATGAGAAACTCAGATCAACATGCCTTTGGAGTGGAAGTGAAGACAGTAAGGAGTACGACAAAGTTGCCACCTACTATCACCGATGATCTTCCTGATTGTGGTCGACTGGACCGGACTGAATGGATCATGTAATAGACAACTGTGAGAAGCGAGTAGATGGGCACACGGTGGGTGGACCGACGAAAGACACCAGAAGAAAATTTTGAATTCACTAATGATAATTTATGTCTAATGTCTTGTTGCACAACCTCGAAGATCTACTGGTGAAACTAGCAAGTTGACTGAAGAGGCGAGTGGAGGCGAGGCGAGGTGGCGAAGACAGGACTTTCTTCAGGTGAAGGTAGAGAAGACAGATGATGAAAATACCCAACCAATAACTAATAACAACAACAGACACCAGTCAGCATGAACGGAGAAATCTACAGGAAGTTTTCTCCTCCACCTACCTACCTAGACAGCATCGTGTCAACTAAAGACAGTGGCACAGATCAGAATGTGAAACCCACAATCGAAAAGACAACAAGACAGGCGTCTCTTCATCAATCTGAAATAACCAGTGTGGAGATCTACTGCACTGCACTCAGCATGAAGCGTGAACAAAATCCCCATTTTCAACACCAATGTCAGTCAAGTAACTTACTTGGCGCTTTATGAAAAGCATTTTCAACAAACTAGAGATATTCATCAACAGCTGTCGCCTACGCTAGATACTGAAGATCAGATGACCAGAACAGAATAATAAGAATAAGCAAGGAGGAACTGTGGTGGCCTGGCAACGAACCAATGAAGTAAGAAGCTATCACTCATCAGTTGTGCAGTAGAGGAAAGTGGGGATGGATTGGATTGGATGTAGACTGAGAAGGCAGACGGTCTAGGGACATCACGCACCAGGTAAGGCCAGGCCGCTGAGTGGAAGCCGAACGTGAAACGACAAGTTGGATGTCTGTGGCGAGGGTGATGTGGAGAAGATAGTGTCAGAAAAAAATTAAAACTTGTGGGCAGTGGTCGGGCCAGGTTTAGGGGACTTCAGTAAACAGAGTGAAATGGTGACGTGCTACTGAAGCCGTATGTTCCAGTTGGAACCCAAAGGACAAATAATAATAATAATAATAATACTTTTCAACAGTACGCACCATTGATATCATCAAAGATCAAACTCAGAACCTTCAGTTCTCGTGTATTCTAAGTTCAACTATCCACCATCCATTAAGGTCTACCCACGTCACTTTTACTTGTTGATCCCAGATGTCATGATTTCTCAAGAGAACTTTGCCTAGAGACCTTTAATTCGTGGGTGCACACTGCTAAGGAGCCCCATAATAAGAAGACAAAACGTCTATCCATTACTCCCAGTTTTCCAATAGTTCTCCAGCTGATGTATGTCCATTTTAAAAATAAAAATCCCAGTTAACCTGGAGCTGCACATCTGGACGTTTCATCTAATCTTACTGGTTACTCTTCTGCACATCACAGTGATTCACTTAACACTCTTGTCATTCGGTACATCTCTGTTTTCATGAGCAAAGTGTCTCAGTTTACTGAGCCATGTAGGTAGTTGTCTGTAACCATGACTGTAACAGTATATAGTTTTGATAAAAATATTACAATCAAAAGCCTTGTTCTTCTGAAAGATCCTGAATTGTAAGTTCCAGGTTGAAATTCATGTTTGAACTTTAATACTTCAAAGCTTTTTCTTGAACAATCATCTTCGTTTTTCTACGTCATTCATCTGTATCAGAAGTCATACAATTTTTCCAATAGAGTGATTTATTTTCCAGAGCTTTGCATCAAGTTGGTATTTTTATCATGAATCAACATCAGTGGAAGGAAACTTGGAAACGTGGGAGTACTGGACAGACGTTTCGTTCTGACAGAAGTAGGAAATATGAACCATTTGATTCTGACCTAATGACCCAATACTAACATGTTGACTGTTGAGGCTGAAGGTCCTGGACGGAGCAACCGGTGAGTAATGCTGGGAAGTCGCATACTAAGACGAAACAGCTGTCCACTCCTCCTAGGTTTTCCAATGTTTCTACAACTGATCTCGGTCTATGATGAATACTAACCTGAAAATAAAAAATTCATCCCAACAAACTTCAAAACTGAGCTTGTTTATCTACCATATCAGTGTATTGTGCTCCCTTGAAGCAGCGGATGTAAATAAAGCTCAAAACAACTGACAAATATATTCAGTGAAATCCAGTGAATCTTTTATCTACTAAGCACATAATGTATTAAGCCTAAGTGGTTATCAGAAGTAATATATGCCCAATTCATATGAAACCCTGACAAGTATCTGTTTTTCAGATGAATAGGGATTTTAATTTAGAGGTAGAATTCATCACGGACTGATATCAGTTGGGGAGCCATTGGAAGCCTGGGAGCACTTGAAAGCCATTTGTCCTAGTATGGCACTCCTCAGCTTTACGTACCCACCACCTGATTAAGGATCGAACTTAGGACCTTCAGATTTCACGACAAACACGTTAACCATTCAGCCACTGGGTCACAGCTCAGCGGTATACAGTTTTAGTAAGAAACCATGACCTGTAGAGTGAATCAGTCGGAGAGGAAGCGAATGCCAACTGAAGATCCTGGGTGATAGTTGCATTGTATCGTGAACTGTGAAGCACTGAAAACCAACCCAGTGGCTGGATGGTTGGAGCGTTCGCCATGAAACCTGGAGGTTTAGAGTTCGATCCCAACCAGGTAGTGGGTGCGTACTGCTGAGGACTCCCATACTAGGACGAAACAGCTATCCAGTGCTCCAAGATTTTCAACGGTTCCCTAACTAACGTCAGTCCATGATGAATACTACTTCTTAATTAAAAATCCCCACTCATCTGAAAAATACATTACTCTATAGTGTTCATTAGTGGCTTGCTTCCAGAGGATATCAGGAAGTTCTAACGAGAAGCCGTGACTTGTAGGATCAACGAAAGGGGAGGGAAACGGATGCCAACTGAAAACCTTCGGTAATAACAACTTTCTGTTTATTTCTATACTAGATTATGAGAAACAACAGTAGCATGAATTCTGATGATAATAACCTCTGATTACTGGATCGTCAACAAGTGAATTGGTTTTGAACTCATTACACAATAAGAGAAAGTCAGATATGTTTATCGGTGAGTTATAGCTCACCAATTAGATGTAAGGGTAAGCAATTATAAAAAGATTACGATTTTACTATATGAGATAGGCGTAGTTTGACAGACTAGTATTTGTTTGTACTGGGTGATGATTGAAGGTGAGATGAAAATTTGAACCGTTGCCGGATTCGAACCAGTGACCACGGTGCCCTACCAACTGTTCTACAAGGTCCGACTTCTGACCAGAATTTTATTTCACTTCATAGCTATCTCAGATAGTCAAATCATAATCAATATGATGCTCTTCCTCTCTGATTCAGTTAGATTTGGATTGGGATGAGAAGTCGTGACTATGCAACCAGTGTGAATACGATCAGGCGGTAGTAACACATCACGAATTCACATGGTAGTTGGGAAAAAGCCTTGGTGATTGAAGTGAAATAAGATTCTAGTCAGCAATAAAACTTCGTAGCTCAGTTGGTAGAGCACTGTGGTGGCTGGTTCAAATTCAGCTGTGGTCCAGATTTTCATCTCACCTTTAATCATCACCTAGTACAATTATAATAAGAGATGAAATCTCCAATCTGATGGCTGTCGACAATTAACTGATACTAAGTGGTATTACAGTGCAATACACACTGAATACAAAGCAATGATTCTGTTTATGAAAGACAACTTTATGCAATAAGATGATGTAATTAGCTAAGTTAATTTATAAGTTTATTACACTGTCTGTTATTATGAGTATTTATCTTTAACCAATTTCTCTTTAAATTTAACTACTCAGTAGGCCCACAACAACAACAACAACAACAACCTCAAGGTAGTCGTCAAGAGAGTTCACAACGAGTAGAAAGGTGAGATTTCAGTTGGTTATAATCTTTCCCATTTGATTAATTATCATTGTTCGAATTTCATTGATTAATAATTGATCTACTAGATAATTGACCTCATCAGGAAATGAAAATTAACTAAAGTAAAAGTGAAGCTTAAAAGACATTAGACAACAGTTTAATAGCATTCTAAGACTCTTCACAAGTTGTAGTTATATAAACTAGGAAGCTAAATTGAAAAAGGTTTTGTGACATCCATTTGATTTCTTACATGAAATGTACTGGTGTTGAAACCGTAGACACGTGAATTTATCAACCATACCAACATAAACCGTGTCAATAAATGAGCTGGCATCAACATCAAAAAACAACCCCTCCAGGGGAAAGTGAATTGTGATCAGGCACAGTAAAGCAATAAGAATGAGTAGCAGATTACTTAAGAAGTGAATAATGTCGAAACAGAAAGACGAAAAGAAGAAAGAAGGAGGAGGGGGTGTGATAGAAGTGACTGAAAAATAAGATCATGAAAGGAGAAGGTGGTTGAACAATCTTCTTTTGTGTACACAGTTCAAGTTTCTCCATTTGGACGGCAAGAGATTCGGTGATACAGAGAATACGAAGACATACAGCCTTTGGAAGGCTTCTTTTCACTTTACAGATGACTTTGAACGAGGAGGTTTTCTGAGATCTGGTGATTTGTGTTCACGATGTGTTGAATTATACGACTCTTTATTGCTCCATTGTTACGTCTTTGTAACCACATAGGATAGTGTTCTTGAACCCTTTTGGATAACAGTCGCACCGAATGGTCTACATATCTGGCTCCATAAGAGCAAGTAAATTGATATATTCACATAGAAGTGGTCAGATGTGATAGTTTCACCTTCGAGTTGTTAGAAGTCATTGGGTGACAAGAGAATACTAGTCTCAGTGTTGATGCAAATAATGTTCTCCTTAGAGTGTTTGATATCCTCCTTTGTAGAGTGTCAGTGGCAGAATCACCTTTGAAGTTGAGATTCATATGGAATGTCTTTTTTAGCACAGTGGTAAGGTTCTCCTTGTGAGGTTCGGCTTGACGTTTATGTCTATGGAGCATGATATGAATCTTTTCAATCAGGATGTCCTTTAGAACAGAAATTTATTCTTCTAATAGGAACCATGAGACTATTATCCAAAAGGGTTCAAGAACACTATCCTATGTGGTTACAAAGACGTAACAATGGAGCAATAAAGAGTCGTATAATTCAACACATCGTGAACACAAATTACCAGATCTCAGAAAACCTCCTCGTTCAAAGTCATCTGTAAAGTGAAAAGAAGCCTTCCAAAGGCTGTATGTCTTCGTATTCTCTGCATCACCGAATCTCTTGTCGTCCAAATGGAGAAACTTGAACTGTGTACACAAAAGAAGATTGTTCAACCACCTTCTCCTTTCATGATCTTATTCTTCAGTCACTTCTATCACATCCCCTCCTCCCTCTTTCTTCTTTTCATCTTTCTGTTTCTACATTATTCACTTCTTGAGTAATCTGCTACTCATTCTTATTGCTTTATTGTGCCTGATCACAATTCACTTTCCAAACTTCTTGTCCAGATTTATGTTACTTGATATTCACTACTCATTAGGGTCTTAGTTGTTTTTTGATACTGATGACAGCTCATTTATTGACACGATTTATGTTTTGATTGTATTGCGTTCTCTTAGCTGGGTTGTTTAACCATGAAGCTTTCATCGTCTTTACAGACGACATCAGCACTAACTTGAGAATGAAGTGAGATGTCAATATTTCTCCGTGAGTGATTTAGTGGCCTGCTCTGACGATGTGGTCTGGAAACAACCAATCACAGACCACATCGTCAAGGCAAGCTATTCCTGAGACATAACGACAAAAGGTAGCCAATAGGGGAGTTGTTTTCAAGTCATGATCAGATCATGTTCATGTCTTCATTTATGCATGCGATGATATGAGAACCTGACTGGACAATTTCGACCTCATACAAGAAATCGGATTGGTTCATTTATGGCTGCACTTTCTTAGAGTTTTGTTAATACATATATGTCACGTATTTGCTTAATAAAAGTTGTCGCTGTTTCTGCAGTTATAGGCCGTTTTTGTCTTCCGATTTTTCCGCGGCTCAGTGAAGCAGAAGGTACTGAGGGAGGTCAGTCATAAAAGTATTCGGTTGAGGTGTCAATTGAGTCTTAATATCATTATACTAACGCGCACAATAATTCCAACACAAACTGGGTGTACATTTATCTCATGGAAGTAGCTAGCAGAAACTGTAAATATCGCGAAAGTCAGTCAGTAAGCTGAATCCATCAATTAAAGATCAGCTTCATAATTCTTTGATTAGAAACTTGATGTCAGCTTTCAATGATTCATTGACACATCATTCCTTTCAAGTTGTTTTTAAACGATTCTATATCTGTAGTCAAGGCTCGACAATTGGTCAGTACAAGCTGTTGTGATCAACAGATACAGTATAGAAGGTAAATAAAGGTTGACTTATGCTTTCAATAATTTACATTTCAGCTCGTCAGGTGTTAAACACTTGTAAGCATCATTTCACATAAACCTATGTAAAACATTTTAATTTGCAATACATGAGGTTTGAATTATACCAATTTCTATAGTGTATTCAATGAAATAAGAATATTGTTAAAATACTTTCAACTTTTTAAAGTAGTTTTCTTTATGGATTGATATCGTTCGATGAACTGTTGAAAGCCTGGGAGGGCTGGAGAGCTGTCGTTTTGTAGATTGCGACTATCCATCATTGTACACACATGATCGCATGTGGAATAGAGATCAAGATTGTTAAGTCTTCAGGCAAGAAAATCACTATTCAACCACAAAACTTAAATTCAACAGTCTACTAATTCATTCTTCTGATAGCTTTTAAAATACCAATATCATCATGTAGTGTCGCCGGTAAATACGTTCTTCTGGTTGACTAAACAAGTCAAGGCTTATCAAAACTACGGGAAGTTCACCTTGATGTAACTCAACGGACAGAACATAGAATTAGCAGACTGTCACACTGCAACACATTGTCTGACTGGTGATGTGCTCACAGCGAGGCTTGATGGTCATAATTTCGATCTCTCGACATAGCATGGATGAAGACTGTTGAAGAAGTTCATACTAGCACATTGCACCTGTCCACTGCTCCCAGGTTTGCAGTGATGAAAGCCTCCAGGAATCTAATCAACTCCACAAAAACCATCTAGCAGATTAATATTTTCCACCTATTGAAGCTTATGAAGAATTCGAGCATTGAAACGTCTCAATATTCAAGATATAAAAAAAAGACTAAGTTAGATTATAACCTATTGTCAACAAGCTTGGAATTGGGATTCTTAAACATTATCTGAAGTAATTGCTCCTGAGATATACCTGTAACATACAATTCACACTAAATATTGAACTTTATCGACAAACGGATGCGGGAGCAAGTGGTTCACTATAGGGTCTTCTCCTACCTCATTGATTCATCAACAATATAGAGAACAGTAAACTATGTCCACTGGTCAACCAGTTCCATCTACACTAGACATACACAGATGACAATTTCATCATCTGTAACAAGAATACTAACCTGGAAGAAATACTATGGAGCTTTTCAATGAATGTCACATGTCAACCACATTCAATATGGAGACTGAAAATAACTGAGAATTCCACTTCGTGGATGTTCTGTTGAGAAGAAGAAATGATGCTTTCCTGGAATGGTTAATATATACACTTTCAGAACTGGATTCCACTAGTCACGAAAATTTAATCTAATTCATTCAGTATGCATATGAATTAGAAGAATATGTAGAGATGATGGATGCAGTGAATGATGAGGTGGAAATACTTCGAAGAGTGTTCATCCAGAATGATTACTCTACAAAATTCATAGAGAGGATGATGAGACCTAAGAATTTCGAAGAAGAATCCCATATGGATGTAAAGAAGACATTGTTATTGGATTCAGTGGATTGAATGTGAGATAGATTGACAGAGGTAGTGAAGAATTGATTGTGGAAGGCACTGAGGAAGATGTTTGTTTCTGGTGTGTTTCGGATTGTTTTATCTAGTGAACAAGTGATTTTATGGTGTGTAAATGATGAGCTATCAAATTGAGCCAGCATGATGTGTGTTTAGGAATTCAGCTGATGTAGTGAAGCTGGTTACATAGTCTGTGCAAAGGATGTTGTATTCCAACGCATCTGTGAACACTATTCTGCATGGATGTGTAGAGGAGAGTGTAAAGTTGTCAATAGCTCTATTGTTGAGGATTTGATTGACTACTCTGGTCAGTGTGTTCCACGTGATTATTCTTTGAAAGTTATTTATTAAGTGTAAGTGAACATTTTGGAGTACGTATAAACCACTTCAAGACAGTAGAATGTGTGATAATTCAGCATTAGCAGTCTGCTTTTTGTGTTGAAGAAAGATGCATTCAATCTCTAATTTTGTCCTGGTAATAATTTTGCTTTAAAACAGTTTATTGGTTTGTTTGTTTATATACTAATATCTTGTAAGCAATTTTTGATGACTTTAATTTGATCTTCTAGGCGTTACTCACAGTTTTTGATGACCTTGCATTGACACAATTGCCACTGATGTAACTATGGTAACGACGTCTAGTTTTTGAAAATGACTGGTCGAAAAGAATATTTGCTACTCTGAATTGTATTCTATCAGGTAAAGAAGATCTAAAGTTGCAATTATCTGAACAATTTCTACGAACATTGAGCATTGATAAGCATATTTATCCTAGTCAATCGTTAAATGATGCAGAACTGGTGTCAACAGTTGCCTATTCCACGTAAAATTTTGTCATGAAAAGGTTCATTATATGATTGATGAATTCATTTATTGAAATTTGAGGGAGTCTTGGGGATTCGGAAATATTTCAAGTTGGTATTCATCGTAGACTGACATCACTTGGAGGAACATTGGAAACCTGGAAGAATTGAACATCTGTTTCGTCCTAGTATGGGACTTCTCAGCAGTGCGCACCCACAACACCCAACAGGGATCGAACCCGCAACCTTTGGGTTCCGTGGCCAATACGTCACCACTGAGCCACTGGGCCGCAACCCAATGGTCCATATCTCCAACTTTTGTCAGTTCATGACATAGTACAACCGTATGCCAATTTCATCGTTGAGTAACTGTCTTCATGACCATCAAGCTACATCAGTTGTTTTATATCGTGAGGTGACAGAAGTTGGAGATATAGGCCATTGGATTCTGACTCAGTGGCTCAGTGGTAACGTGCTGGCCACGGAACCCGAAGGTTGTGGGTTCGATCCCTGAAGGTTGTCGTGGGTTCCCGCTGCTGGGGAGTCCCACGCTGGGACGGAATAGCTGTTCAGTGCTTCCAGGTTTCCTATGTTCCCCCAACTGATGTCAGTTGCTAGGACAACCAAGGTGCTAGAATTCATCTGTTGGTGATTTAAACGACTGTCGCAAAACTAACTACATTCAAGTGACCGTCTTTCTTGTTTACAATTTAGAAAAACTTTAAAATTTACATGCATTTGAATTTACTTCTTTGCTCAAGGGATAGTACTCATCATTTTCCTATTGTTTTACAAAAGATATTATGTGTTGAAGTGGAATTTGATAGGAATTTCAACGTGTCCAATGGTTAATTTGTCAAGAAAAAAAAATGTTTAATCCAGTCTTCAATAAGGCTTTTGTTTTAGCAAGGATTTGAAACATAACGTTTTTTCATTAAAATACGATGTCTTATATAATACAGTTTTTTTTTTACCTTCCACAGACTTAAGTAAGTAGTATATTACAATGCAGTATAAATATTTTCTAACGAAGAGGTGAATTTAACAAGAGATAATTTTATAGTATGATATATATCATGTTTTTCAACTAATCTATCATCTTCTTCAAATGATCTATTCGTCAGTTCATCACTTGATTAGTATTCACGACAATCGATATTATTCACTAATTCAATCAGTATGAACAAAGCAGTTTTTCAATATTGAACCTGGCTCCACGACTGCCCATAAACTCTCATTTCTTCCTCACTTGATCTCCTCCATATCACCCACCAGCTGGGACGCCCAACTCGCCGTTTCCCATCGTTGTTCCATTCAACGACCTGACCTGGCGAGTGGTGTTGCCGAATGGTCTACTCAGTGTATGCCCAATCCATCTCCACTTCCTTCTGCAGATTCGTTGAGTTATGGGTTCTTGCTTCGTTGGTTCGTTGACAGCCAGCCAGAGTTCCTTGTTGCTTATTCTTATTATTTTATTCTGGCCATGTGATCTTCGGTAACGAGCCAGCGTAGGCAGTTGTTGATGAATGTCCGTAGTTTGTTGGAAATCCCTTTCCTATTGCACCAAGCCTCTCAACCATCATACAGAAGCACTGACTTGACTCAATTGGTGTTGAGAATCCGGATGTTGTTCACGCCTTATGCTGAGTGCAGAAGATCTCCACACTGGTTTCAGGTTAATCAACGCCTGTCTTGCTGTCTTTCCGATCCTGGCTACTTTCACATCCTCATCTGTGTCGCTGTCTGTAGTTGAAACACTGCTGCCGAGATAGTTGAAAGAGGCTACTTCCTTGAGAACCAGCCACTAATTCACTTGCCCACTCTTCTGGCTATCATATATCTATGACTAATAGCTGTGATGATAGAGATGTCTGTCATTACTGATTTTGTAACTTTCGAAGTAGAGATAACTATTTCTTCTTGCTTAAATAGTTCACACTATTTTTGATGAGTTTTGCTGTCATTGAAAACTTTCGCCAAAATAATTAGAGTGATCTTATCTTCACAATGGTTCTTTAAAACAATAAAATGTGGTTTTATAAACTTCAGGATCAAAATTTCATCGAATAGAATTGACTGAATAAATTCAGCTTCAGGTAAATGGATTATAAATGGAATGTATATATGTAAAATCTCAATGTGGTAGAAAAATAAGCCTCTGACGATTCGGGACTTCGTCAAAATAGCTTCTTCGGAGCAGAAGACCTGTACAAGTTGTCGTCTGTTGAAACAGTAAATGGTGAGAAATATGGTCACGTTGTACATTGATAATAATAATAATATGGGAATAAGTGTCATTACTATTTGTTTATATGTTTGTAATTCTCCATTGTTATACCGGATCGAATTACTCCACCTCTATTGGTATATGCACTTCAATGCGGATGTCTTGATATTGTTTGAATAGTTATTATCATAATTTACTTGGTTATGGCTAGCTGAGAAATCCAGGACGCACGTTTCGTTTTGTTTGGGACTTATCAGTTGAATGTACTTCACTCAAGTGAGTGATGTTCTCACTGAAACTAGAATCTCTTACCCATCGCTTCGAATGACAAAGCGTTGTCAACTAGGTCACTAAAGCACGATAACAGGTACATCCAACTGACGAGTCCCAAATAACATGAAATGCGCATTCTGAACTCCTCTGCTAGCCACAACCAAATAAATTATAGACGCTGGGTTATGACTGAAGGTGAAATGAAAATTCGGACCGTGGCCGTATTCGAACCAGAGGCCGCCGGATTTCTGGCCCGATGCTCTACCAATTATAATCAGTGTCACTGTTTTCCGTTATTAGTCTGGAGATCAAGGTAAGGTGTGAATGTGGTCAGAAAAAATATCATGGATGATAAAGCTGACTTTAAAGGCCAACCTAGCAACTGATGAGACAGACAATTACATCGCTTTATTTCATGGCAAAGTACTTCTCCAGGTGAAATCAAAGCCTGAGTGGCCATTTCAGCAGTTGCTAGAGTAACCTTTGAAGACACCCAACTGTATACGTCGCCCTAGCAACTGTTAAGATAGCCGATTAGGCTTCTCTATTTCATAAAAAATGAGCCATAGTAGCCAATATATCAAAATCTGATTGGTTATTTCATCAGTTGCTAAGGTGGCGGTTGGAGTCACTACGACCCAATGACTGACACTAAAGGTCATCTTAGCAATGATCAAAATAACTAATTAGTTTTCCCCATTTGAGCTCGAAACGCAGATTTTCATAAAATGCAGAAGTCTTATTGGGAGTGAATTTAAAATCGACCCTAGCAATTGGTGAATTAACCAATCATGTCTCAGTCTTCTATGAAAAATTGTCTCCCTAGAAAAAATACCGAAAGCCGATTGGTTACCTTGGCACTTGTCAGGGTGACCTTTAAAGTCACCTCCAAATTAGTTATTTCTGTTTTTGAAGGTGACTTCAAAGGTCACCCTAACAATTGCCAAAATGACAAATCAGGTTACGGCATTTTGCCTGGGAGACAACTTTCCGTACGACTGAGAAACGTGATAGGTTGTTTTATCGATTCTTAGGACTACCTTTAAAGTCGCTCGTTATTGATGTGGTTCCATTTAAAGTGAAGTGAATTTAAAGGCCACCCCAGCAACTACCAAAAAAGCCAATTATGTCTGTTTATCATATGAATAGGTTATTACAGTAATCGCCAAGACGACATTTAAAGTCACCCCACTCGTTTTCAAATCCTTTTTGAATAATTTGAGTAACTTCAAAGGCCACTCTAGCAACTATTGAAATGACCAATTGGACTTCTCTTTTTTAACGAAATAGAGAAGCCTAGTTGATTATCAAAGCAGTCGCAAAAGTGGTCTCTGAAGTTACACATAATTCATTGTATTGTGTTCTCTGAACTGGATTGTTTAATCGTGAAGCCTTTCATCGTCCTTCAAGATAATAATCGTAGCACTAACCAGGAAGAAGAGACATCATGCTCAAATGAACACTCAAGAACAGAAAATAATAAAAAGACTGAAAAATGGAAAAGACATCGTTATACTTCCAGCGGACAAAGGAGGCAGCACGATAGTCATGGACAAAGAAGACTATATCAAGAAGGCAGAGGAATTACTCAGAGACGAAAATGTATATCAACCAATTGAAACCAACCCTATCAAAAAGTTCGACAACCAGAAGAAATAACAATCGAATGGACTCGTCCTTCCTTGGTTCGATGGCAGATCAAAACTACGCAAACCCGATATCCATCTACGACCAGTAGTCTCACTTCCAGGAACTCCAGCATACAACATATCAAGATAACATTCTAGAAAACCGAAACACCTCGTTCAATCATGCAGACATTCCATCAACTCACCAAGGGTATTCTTAGAAAAAAAAGACTAATTAATGGTGTCTTTCGATGTCACTACACTATACACATCCATCGAACCACAGTTGGCTAACGAAACTATGTCTCTCCTGCTCAATGAAGACGCAAGCTTTCAGAAAGCACAAAACTCAAATGTTCAAGTCTGATGCAACTCATCGACCTTTGTATGACAACATACTTCTAATTCAATGGTAAGATATACAAACAGACAAAAGGAACTCGAATAGCATCACCGATTTCCAAGCTAATTGCAGAAGCAGTGATGCAGACACTGCAAGCCATCATTCTACCTGTGATCCAACCAAAAATTTGGATTCGCTATATAGACTTTTGTCATCATTAAAAAGAATAATATAGAAAACATTCACACTTTGATCAACAACGTTTTCAATGACATCAAATTCACAACGAAGAAAGAGTCAAACAACCAACTACCATTCCTGGATATTTTAGCCAGTAGGATAAATGCCGGTAAGCTGGAAACCCAAGTGTACAGCAAGTCAGCATACACTGATCAAATCCTCAACTACAGTAACAACAACCCAACAACACACAAAATCAGTTGAGTGCAGACTCTATTCAAAAGAGCGATAACACACTGTAGTGCAACAACTTTAGGGAGAAACGAAGAAAATTACTTGATGTCCACCCTAAAGAAGAACGGCTACCGAAGAAGACAACTATCCCGCACGTCATCAACTACAAAGTCATCAAGCGAAATGAATAAACGCATCATTCTACATCAGTACATAAGGAATATATCAGAAATCATGACAAGATTACTGAGATCACTTGGTGGAATTGGTGTAGCCACTCATAAACCAATAAAATCCCTGCAAACACTGTTACCAGACCAAAGGATGCAGGAAGAGAAGAAGACAAACCGAATATCATCTACAAAACCCAATTTCAATAACTGTAGTCAACAATAAATTGGACAAAGTGATCACCGTCTTCGCCTTCGTCTACATGAGCACCGATTGGCTATTAAACGCCACGATACATCACCACTCATTTCAATCCATGCGGATAGCAACTATGGACATGAATTGAATTTTGATAATGTAGAAATTTTGGACGGAAGGAGGAAACACAAGGAATATAATCAGAGAACTCATAGAAGTTTGACATTCAGCTCAATCAGCCATTCAGTCAGTCAGTCAGTCAGTCAGTCAACAATCAATGGGGAGATGTATAGACATAGACCCAATCTATCAACCAATAACAAAAATGATAAGCATCACAGGTGAGGTCAGAGGTGAAGCAGAGGAACAACCAACACGAAAATCTATTCAGTCAGTCAATGACAGAACAATCGAAGGAAACAACCAATCACAGACCACATCGTCAGAACAAGCCAGTAAATCAGTCATGGAGAGATATTGACAGGTCACTTCATATTGAAGAAGTTATTGGTGATGATGTTGTCTGTAAAGAGGATGAAAGCCACACGATTATACAATCCAGTTCAGAGAATACAATATAACCTAGACCATTCACCTAAGTTACAAATATTCTCCATTATTTCATGCATACTTAAAATGACGAATAGATCAGAGTGTAATGACCCAATGAGAAAACAACAACTTATGGTGAACATGGAGAGCGCATTTAAGATTATCTTATCGTGAAACTTTTATAATATGTAAAAAATTGGCCTTTATGTTGTTCTGTTGCGCAATAACGTGTACAATATGTAATGAGATAACAATCTGATAGTTGACCATTATTTAATAATTTTTAATCCAGGAAAATCGGTTTCGGTATCGGGTAAGAATCTTAGTCGTATCATATGTTGAACGGTTATACTCTACTTGGAAAGAGTCACTTAATAATGTCATTAAATAATTTCATAATACAATAATTGATATAATCCTTAATGTGTCGAAGTACAGTTGTGTAGTGAAGACAATTAACTGAAAAATCTCCAAATTACAATCCTCTCTTACTTCATCAAGCAGTCAGTAGACTTTACAGAATAAACACTTAATTAACTAATGTATTTTTGAGATGAATGGAGATTTTTAATTTTAGAAGTAGTATTCATCATGGACTGATATCAGTTAGGGAACCATTGAAAATCTGGGAGCACTGGATAGCTGTTTCGTCCTACTATGGAACTCCTCAACAGTACGCACCCATCACCAGGCTAGGGATCGGACTCAGGACTTTCAAGTTTCACAGTGAACGTGTTAACCATTCAGCCACTGGGTTGGTTTCAAGTGGTTCACAATTTCCAACTTCTGTCAATTCACAACATAGCGCGACTGTCACCCAAGGTGTTCAGTTAGCATTCACTTCATTCCCGACTGGTTGACCCCACAGGTCACGGCTTCTCATAGTCGCGCTATGTTGTGAATTGACAGAAGTTGGAAATTGTGAACCACTTGAAACCAACGCAGTGGCTGAATGGTTAATGCGTTCACCGTGAAACTTGAAGTCCTGAGTTCGATCCCTAGACTGGTGGTGGGTGCGTAGTGTTGAGGAGTCCCATACTAGGACGAAACAGCTATCCAGTGCTCACAGATTTTCAATGGTTCCCCAACTGATGTCAGTCCATGATGAATACTACTTCTAAAACTTAATTAACTACTTATGTCAATCAATTTGTATATAAGTTAATGTCTTCTATTTATTGTCTAAAGTATACTCTAATGATCATATGTCATATTTCTGTTGCATTATTACCTTCAAGTGAAATTGAAAATAAAACTGTCAATTTTGATGCAAAATGAAATCTCGTCTAGAGAATTTTGCAGATGAGATATAACCAACCTATTCAAATAGCACAAATCTCTAATATATTTCAATTATTATTTGTCTGTTGTGTTCCTAGTGGAACATATCGCTTCAATAGCACATCTTCATTTCACTCTGTTCTCTGCAGTCTTTTCAATATGGCTTTAATTAGTTCCTACTATTCAAGTGTATGTAATATCATAAGGGAAGTCTAAACAAGCATTTTTCAGTTTGTTTGAAACATACTTCAAGATTTGAATCTCCTCTTACATGATCTTACATATTTGTTATATCCACTTACTATAACCAATTATTATGTTTCAATTTTTATTCACTTTTAGGAAAATTTTCGATTTGTTCTGGTAAGTTAGTCTTTTTCTGAAATCTATACTGGATTTGATGCATACCCTATTTACATTCTTAAAGAACACGAAAGTTAACCTAAAGCTGATTGATAAACTCGATAAGCTAGATCTTCAATCACTCAAGATCATCCCTGACCTGTTTATGTAGCACATTAGTAAATTTTTCACTCACATCTGTGATCAACATAGACAACTGCACGTGGAATAAAGAGGTGATTATTCTGCTAGCATGTCCATAAGGACTCATGTGAAGGATTTACAGTCATTGAAGACGAAGCTTACCTTATGATGTGTCATAGAAAGTAAATTAACTGTCGACGAATTCATCTAGCTTCTTAATACCCAAGTATGATGGTAAATTTGTCAGCTATAACGACTGTTAAATGATACCGACATCACCTACCTGTTTTATTAGACGTACATGATTGATGAAATAAATCAAAGCCTGTGTATTAGATTCAACTTCATATTTTATTGCTTTTGTCCCATGAGTTCCTAGTGGAACATAACACTTCAGTACCACATCTCCATTTCACTCTCTTCTCCACACTCTCCTCAACATAGCTCCATGAATGACCACAAGATCTCATTCCTTCCTCACACCATCTCCTCCATGTCACCCTACACGAACACACCCAACTAGTCGTTTCCCATTCGGCTTCCACTCCACTCCACTCCACACCCTAACCTCGTCTGGTGCGTGATGTCCAGAAACAATCTTCATTCTCACTCTATGTCCAATCCAATCTGATTCAATCCAATCCAATGCAATCCAGTCCAGTCCAGTCAACTCCACTCCAATCCAATCCATCTCCTCTTCACTCCACTGCACAGTTGATGGGTGATAGCTTCTTGCTTCATTGGTCCGTTGCAAGGACGCCACACTTCCTCCTTGCTTATTCTTATTATTCGATTCTAGCCATCTCATCTCATCTGGTCTGATCTCATCTCCAGTGTCAGTATCGAGTGAGTGTAGACGACAGCTGTTCATGTGTTCTATGTGTGCAGTTTGATGGAAATGCTCTTCATAATGTGCCAACTCTCCCAATCATCACATACAAGCACTGATTTACTTGACTGATATTAGTGTTGAAAATCAGGATCTTGTTCACACTTCATGCTGAGTGGAGTTCACTGCACTGTAGTGGATTCGAGTGCAGTGCAGTGCAGTGCAGTGCAGTGCAGTTCAGTAGATCTCCACACTGTTTATTTCGGATTAATGGAGTACTGTCTGTTTTGTTGTCTTTCTGATCGTGTGTTTCACATCCTGATCTGTGCTGCTGCCTGTAGTTGATACGATGCTGTTTAGGTAGGTGAAAGAGACAACTTTCTTCAGATTTCTCCCTTTCATGCTGATTGGTGCTTATTGTTGTTTTCATTGTCAGTTGAGTAACTTCACCGCCTTTATCTTCTCTACGTTCACCTGAAGAAAGTCCTGTCTTCGCTACATCTCATTTTCTGTCAACTTGTTAGTTCCCACCTGTAGATCCTCGAGGTTGTGCAACAAGACATTAGACATAAATTATCATTAGTGAATTCAAAATTTTCTTCTGGTGTCTTTTCGTCGGTCCACCCACCGTGTGCCCATCTACTCGCTTCTCACAGTTGTCTATTACATGATCCAGTTCAGTCCGGTCCAGTCGACCACAATCAGGAAGATCATCGGTGATAGTAGGCGGCAACTTTGTCGTACTCCTTCCTGTCTTCACTTCCACTCCAAAGGCATGTTTGATCTGAGTTTCTCATTGTGAATCACCTAACATGTAGCATATGTCTGTTGAGTGAGGTTGATGGACGTTTGTATCACTAAAACCGTAGTGTTGAAGCAGCTGCCAAATTTCTTCGTCGTTGACGTTATCGAACGCCTTTTCAAAGTCTACGTTATTGCCAATGATTGATTTTACTTTACAGATTCAGATGACGTTTTTGTTGAATTCTTTTTTGTACTTAGGGTATATAATAGGCTTGCTGACGGATCGCAGCAACTTTATTCCAACTGGCAAAATAATATGAAGTTTTGGGAAAATATCACTGCTGTAAATACGATGGATGAGAGCTGGAGACGACCATATTACTGGTCGCTCGAAAACAGGTGATCGTATTTAACTTTTAAAAAGCCAGTTGGTAAAGATGAAAGTATCATGAGTTATCATTGTAGGTTTTGCAAGGCCTATGAATCTGTTTTTAAATAGACGTTATCTAGAATAACCTTACAGGTTTGGATGTTATCAAAATCTCAACTATTTTTGCATCGCTGGACACCGATTACCTGCTATCTGAACTATGTCTTCATGAACAGCTTATGTAGCAAGAAAATCTTCACTTTCAAGCGATTTTAAAGTGAACGAAGGTGCTATCGTCATCACTCTTGTTTGAATGGTTGCTGACATCTCAGTCATATGATAGACTGACTATGAAATTATGTTTCAGCTTGAGTATCGTTACATACTTACTCAGCTGGATTCAAACTTTATTCCTTCAGTTTCATTCAATAATTTTACATATACTCAACAACAATGATTCAGTTTTACACTCACTGATTTCTGTTTCAGCTATCTGAGCACTATCTTGTAAGTATACAACATACTGTGATTGTTGAATGAGTTCATACATTTATTTTTTTGTTGGATATATTCACACTCTACATAATACTAGTTTCAAAGAGAGTTTGGCATATCTTCAGATAGTACTGGAAAGTCCAGCATTTTTGTCTCATTTAATACCATTTGTAAGGGAGTTTCGGTGTTTACATGATCATTATCAGCAGATGAATTTGAGAAGTCTGATCTTTACAAGGTCATGATAGTCAAGTCTGCTGTTATATGGAGTTGATGTTATGAATGCTTCCATCATCAGGTCAAATAATATGTGCTGTGAGATTTTACACAGAGTAAAAGTAAGTATGTTCATCGAAATTTACCACATTCCATAATATGTGGAGTTGAGATTCCCTACCAGTGAAATCTCTTTGAACAGTATTGAAAGAAAGATTTTCAGGCAATCACTGTATTACAAAAGATCATGTTGTACAGCATTATTTTAGGCTTGGATTCATCCTTAGCTGATTGAGTCAGTGATAAGCTTGACGCCTTCCCTTAGTTAGAACATTGACTAATTAGTGTATGGAATTCAAACTTATGCTATGCATTTGCAACCCCAGAAAGAACGAATACTGGATGGAAGAGGTACCCACTGCTTTACGATTTTTGTTACTGTTAGTGATTCTAGATAATTGGACGACAGATCGGAACTAACAGCAGATTAGTGCTTGCAGCTTACTAACGACATATACATACATGCGCATAAGAATCACATCTCAACCTCTTGTTCACAGAGTTGTTGGCTAACATGGCTGCTCCATTTGCAGAAGACTGAATACAGCTAGATACACTCATCAACCGGTTAAAAGTTGAATGACTGGTATATGCATCACAACCATCTATTGATGGTGCTGGTGATTTTTCAGAATAATTCAACATACAACAATACTTCACAGCTCAATTTCAGATTCTACCTGAGTTGTATCATAAATACCCTTAGAACTCTGTACTAATTAATCCATATGAAATATGAAAGCAGGAGAGTAGCATGTGGTCATTTCAGTTTGAGACATCATGAGGATATTGGTATAATTGTTTTTATGTCATCATATCATCGTTGCTTGGACCGAATTGATCGGTCTCTATTAGCATTTGGGCTTTTGTGCGGATGCCTCGATATTGCCAGCAATCTAATTATGTTAATGATGAATCGTGGCTAGCAGTGGAATCCAGGATGCGTATTTCGTCCTATTTGGGACTCGGTGGGACACATCATGGTGGGAAAAACATCACACACTGGGAAACAGGTGCATCCAGCTGATGAGTCCCAGATAAGAAGAAATGCGCATCCCGGATTCCACTGCTAGCAGCGACCCATCGCTAATATCATGAGGATATGTTTACGGGTAGAAATTGAAGCTAAGGATGTATATGTTTATACATATTGTTTAGTCTGGTGAAATCAGCTTTTACATTTCAGGAAACATGTACACATTAAGCTGATCTCAGCAGTGAAACATAAATGAATCCTTTCATGAAATTCATTGATTATTATAAACATTACCAAGATTGTGTATTGCCAACATTCAATAACTCTTTTTTCTTTTCCATAGGAATATTCTTCGAGATTATATCAAATTCTAGCTTTGAGCGACACGAAAACTGGAAGAAGGATTCTACTGAAACATGGACAATACAACTGACACTATTTATGTGAATTGGCATTCCTTCTTTCGGTAGAAATGTATGTGATATTAAAAGTTATTGTGGTTATTGATGGTAGCAAGATATTTTCATTCGTTGTTCAGTTTCATTTTCTTCGGGTAAAAGTTTTGTTCTGGCTTTCTTAATTGATAAATATTGGTATGTTCAATGCAAAAAACGGGTTTACACTATTATTACTGGATAGTGGTTGGTAGTGGGAACCAGGATGTGCCTCTTGCTCTAATTAAGACTCCTCAGTTGGATGTACCTGCCTCTCAGTAAGCGATTTTCTTCTCACTGAAACTCGAACCCTAGATCAGTCACTTCAAACGCCAGAGAATTATCCATTAGGCCGTTGAGTCACAATGATCGGTTTTTGTCCTAAAAGTATACTTAGTACGATGTTGCTTGAATTAGCCTGTTGTTGACTGTACCGAATTGATCGGTCCCTATTGGCATATGGGCTCCTGCAAGGATGCCGCGATATTATCGAACGTTTCAATTTTGATATTAATGCTGGATGGTGGTAGCTGACAAGTCCCCCACTGAGATCATTTGGTTGATCTACATGTAGCATGTTAGTGTTGAGGTTTATATGAAGAACGATGTACACGAGACTGCTCAATAATTACTGAATGTACAGTTACAAAATATTTGCCGCTAATAATAGGTCGAGCCTAGTTATGCAACGACGGCGAGCCTCTCCATGACCCCACTGGATATCAGTTAATACATCGTTGATTTTGACCTGGCGGTAAACACGATAGACGATAACGATACGTGTAGATCATCGACAGGACTCTACAAAGTATAGACGACCTATCTAAACGTCAGGATTCTGCCCAGTGCTCTAGGAGCAGTGAAACCAAAATGTACAGGAATTTACTTTTTTAGTTCCAGTAGTCACTGATGTTGAAGAAGTCTCTGAAGGGAGGGATGAGTTTGCCTTGCAAATGTGGTTGATATTCGATTGGGAGTGTCAGGTTTCATTCATCTTAGCCTTGGCTGCATAAATAGCCTAAGGGGAGTCTCTGAATTTGAATCAATATGTCGAGAGGAAAATAAACCCCCACTCAGGGGGAGGGGAATTAAGTTGCATCTCTTCTGCAATATCGTGGTGACTCAGTAACACATATCCCACGATTGTCTACCCACGGGGGGGAGGGGGCGGGGGTTGAGTACAGTGAAACATTCTGATTACCCCGTGAATGTGGATGCGTTGAAGCCTGACAGTAGACAGGATTCCACGATAATACTGATCAGATTTGAGGGGACGTTGAGAGAATGCTCTGACGAGAATTTTCGTTCCCATGTGGATGCGTTGCTTTGATGTTTCCTGCTCATTGTATGGACTGATCCCTCAGTTTTCGGATAATAATGTTCACGAAGACGATGTCGGGACTGTAGCTGGAAATCCAGCCAAAAACTGAAGTAAGGCAAGCGGTAAATGTTTGGCAGCTTATTATTCATTGTATGTGATATCAAAAATGAAATCAAGTCAATATTCCTGACAATTTCACCCGAGTTCAACTTATGACTAACAGTTATATGCCCGGTGCAGTCGCTGTTAGCACTCTCACACTACACTGTTCAATTTCAAAATGTCTGTCCAATGGTTAACTTCTGTTCACAGCTGCGCGCTTGAAATAAACCAAGAGGATAAACAAAGTATAATAGTGATATTGTACAGCATTGAAAGAGCATCTATACTTAGGGGGCATTTAGTCAGGACAACAGAGTTGTTTCCCACCTAAAGTCCGTCAGCATAATTAGGTATATCACTTCAGAAATCAAACAGTTAAGTAGTTCGGATAAACTCACCAAGACAGCTTCTTCTGTAACAGTGGAGTTCCTTGATCTTGATGGCCAAATTAAATCACCATTCAGTGTAACTCATTCAAGATACCTGTAAGTATTTGCGACATTCAAGTCGAAGTGAATTTTCGGCGAGAAAGTTTAATAAAACCACGTCATGAGTGACGTTTCGAAATGTATGAAATGTCAAATGACAGCCAGTAAAAACGATCTCTTTCACCTACCTAGATAGCATCGTATCAACTACAGGCAGCAGCACAGATCAGGATGTGAAACACACGATCAGAAAGACAACAAAACAGACAGTACTTCATTAATCCGAAATAAACAGTGTGGAGATCTACTGAACTGCACTGCACTGCACTGCACTGCACTGCACTGCACTGCGAATCCACTACAGTGCAGTGAACTCCACTCAGCATGAAGTGTGAACAAGATCCTGATTTTCAACACTAATATCAGTCAAGTAAATCAGTGCTTGTATGTGATGATTGGGAGAGTTGGCACATTATGAAGAGCATTTCCATCAAACTGCACACATAGAACACATGAACAGCTGTCGTCTACACTCACTCGATACTGACACTGGAGATGAGATCAGACCAGATGAGATGAGATGGCTAGAATCGAATAATAAGAATAAGCAAGGAGGAAGTGTGGCGTCCTTGCAACGGACCAATGAAGCAAGAAGCTATCACCCATCAACTGTGCAGTGGAGTGAAGAGGAGATGGATTGGATTGGAGTGGAGTTGACTGGACTGGACTGGATTGCATTGGATTGGATTGAATCAGATTGGATTGGACATAGAGTGAGAATGAAGATTGTTTCTGGACATCACGCACCAGACGAGGTCAGGATGTGGAGTGGAGTGGAGTGGAAGCCGAATGGGAAACGACTAGTTGGGTGTGTTCGTGTAGGGTGACATGGAGGAGATGGTGTGAGGAAGGAATGAGATCTTGTGGTCATTCATGGAGCTATGTTGAGGAGAGTGTGGAGAAGAGAGTGAAATGGAGATGTGTTACTGAAGTGGTATGTTCCACTAGGAACTCAAATTACAAATAATAATAATAAACGACTTCATTGAAGAAAGTGAAATTGACGCTTGACGATCACTGTAGGTAAAAATGTCTACCATCAGCAGGCAGAGATTTCCGATCATTCCTCTTCAATCATAATTTCAGTTTGCATAGGTGATATTGCTAAAAGAATTAAAAGGTGGAAACTGGTATATCGTGTGTTGGTCCTGCATATCATTTAACTGTCACACTGAATGGCATGCACCTATTCAATGTCACTGTTGCTCTCGATAGCCTTTCTTCATTGACTTTTGTCTTTAAGAAGCTATTTATAACAGCGATTGGATGAAGGGAGTCTGATGATCAAATTGCTTGATGACAAGCGCGTACAAGTATCAAGAATATGTCGAACTATTCCCAGTAACCATAAACTTTGTGCTGATGATGTTGTCTAGAAAGACAATGAGAGCTTCAATATTAAATTATTCAGGCCAACGAACATAACACCATCAAAAATGTCATGAAACTCTGCAAAATATGGGAGGTTTCACGTTGGCATTCATCTTAGACTGACATCAGTTGGGGGAACATAAGCAACCTAGGAGTACTGAACAGCTGTTTCGTCCCAGCATAGGACTGCTCAGCAGTGCGCACCCACCACAACCACCAGGGGTCGAACCCACAACCTTCGGGTTCCATGGCCAGCACGTTACCACTGAGCCACTGGGTCAGAATCCAATGGTCTATATTTCCAACTTCTGTTAGCTCACGATATAAAGCAACTGATATAGCGTGATGGTCATGAAGACAGTTACTCAACGATGATATTAGCATGCGGTTGCACTACGTCATGAACTGACAAAAGTTGGAGATATGGACCATTGGGTTGCGGCCCAGTGGCTCAGTGGTGACGTGCTGGCCACGGAGCCTGAAGGTCATGGGTTCGATCCCTGTTGGGTGTTGTGGGTGCGCACTGCTGAGAAGTCCCATACTAGGACGAAACAGATGTTCAATTCTTCCAGGTTTCCAATGTTCCTCCAAGTGATGTCAGTCTACGATGAATACCAACTTGAAATATTTCCAAATCCCCACAACCCCATCGAAATTCAATATATGAGGTTTTTTCGGATGAAGGAGATCTTCTACACACAAAAATGTATTACATGCAGAACTTGTCAAAACGTCTAGTTACGATATTGCTAGGGAAAAAAATGATCGCAGGGAAATATCTTCCATACAAGCCATATTTTAATTGTGTTCTCTGAACTGGATTGTTTAATTGTGTGGCTTTCATCGTCTTTACAGACAACATCATCACCACTAACTTCTTCAATATGAACTGACCTGTCAATATCTCTCCATGACTGATTTACTGGCTTGCTCTGACCATGTGGTTGTGATTGGTTGTTTACTTCGATTGTTCTGTCATTGACTGATTGCATAGACTTTCCTGTTCTCTGTTCCTCTGCTTCACCTGTGACCTCATCGCTGATGGTCATCATTTTTGTTATTGGTTGATAGATTGGGTCTATGTCTATACATCTCCCCATTGATTGTTGACTGACTGACTGACTGACTGACTGAATGGCTGATTGAGCTGAATGTCAAACTTCTAGGAGTTCTCTGATTATATTCCTTGTGTTTCCTTCTTCCGTCCAAAATTTCTACATTGTCAAAATTCAATTCATGTCCATAGTTGCTATCCACATGGATTGAAATGAGTGATGAAATGTCGTGTGTGCCGCATAATAGGCAGTTGGTGCTCATGTAGACGAAAGCAAACAGGATGACTACTTTGTCCAATTTAGTGTTGACCACGATTGATTTCGTAAATGACATTCGGTTTGTCTTCTTTGATTGTTGCATTTTTTTGTCTGCATGATAGCGAGCCACACCAAGTGGTCTCAAAGAAAGAATATGATCAGAGAAAACCTAGAGGCTTGACATTCAGCTTAATCAGTCAGTCAGTTAGTCAACAATCAAACGAGTATATCATGTGATATTTTTCTAGAATACATGTCATCTTATGCCGCCTAAACACTTAAAGTAAAACTTCCACACTCGTTTACTAAAAGTTTACAGAAAAATGCCGTCAACCTTATTCTCTGAGACACTGAATATAGTGATGAAATTGTTAAATCAAACACGTTGATTTACATTTCAAAAATCACGTGACAAGAAATTGAGGTGAATTGCATCCAAATCACGTCAATTTAAATGCAACAAAACACCTACCTATCTACCTACCTACCTACACACCTACCTACCTACCTACCTACACACCTACCTACCTACATACCTACATACCTACCTACCTACCTACCTACCTACACACCTACCTAC